GACTTAAACATTTACCTGACGATGACTTCAACATTTACCTGACGATGACAACAAACATTTACCTGACAATGACAACAAACATTTATCTGACAATGATTACAAACATTAACCTGACGATGACTACTAACATCTTCCTGCCAATGACTACAAACATTTACCTGAGGATGACTACAAACATTTACCTGACGATGACTACAGATAAATTACCTTACTGTTTCCTGAATTTGATTTTACACGGCTTGTTACATTTACTTCTGTAGAAAGGCAAAACAGCATCGTCGTCTACGGGGCCAAACTTTGCAGTCGAAGGAACATCATATGCGTACATTGAGACGTCTAGGCCGAGAAAACGTGACGATGTTGCAATCCTTGTTTCAAATAGTCTGTCAGGTAAGTAAAACGGATGCAACAAAAATCAAAAAAGAAAACCTCGAATAAAACAAGAATTCTATAGAATAGAACAGGTCTTGAAACGTGTTTTACATCTTCAAATTAATTGACCAGAGGTTGTATCGTTTGCAACTTCCGGTTTATCAACTGGTCATACAACCTCCGACGAGTCAAAAAAAATGTTTTTGCTTAAGTTGCTGCTATATCAGATTTTTTTTACTAATGTCGCACAGTTGTCCTATTTGTTTTACCTTTTTCTCACACAAAAAAAAAATGTGATAAACAAGTCACAAAAATACATGATTGCCAACGGTTAATCTTGAACATTATGTTGAGCATTTTCCCCACACGTCAGGAAATGTCGAGCGATATTAAAAAATAATATTGTGTCTGGAAATTTGAATTCACGTTACCAAAACATGACGCCTTTATATTATTACTTCACAATCACCAGCTAGCTCATTATTTTTTTTCAAAACATTTTTTCATTTCAAATCAATTTTATTGTATTCAAAAAGATACAATTGGATTAGGCACAGGCATTGCCTATAAAAGCCCTTTCCAGAGAAAATACACACATTTCATACATTCATATATACATATATATATAGAGAGAGAGTATTATAGAGAAGATGTAGTATATGTTCGAATTAATAGGAGAATACTAGAACCATTTAATACATGTTCACAAAAAATAATACATGTAACTAGAATATCATAGATTTTACCATTTCAATTAATATAGTCTATTTACTTCAATTATTAATAGCCTAGTGTTTGGTTGGAGGCACTTCAAAGA